AGATGCTGTTCGAAAAGAAAATTTTCCTCAACTTAAGAAATTATCCGTTCGCAGACTAGTGATCTAGATGAAGTGTTTATGACCAAACCTTGTCTGCAGTCCTGATACAATATTCACTAATTGATTTGTCGAACCAACTACCAATACTCAATATGGAGTTTATTGTTTTTGCGTTGTGCTATGAATGATGCTGACGTATAAGAACTCAGCAACCGGCTGCAGTTAATCAGACTACAACAACGCCGAACTGAAAAGTGTTAAATTACTAACGGCAAATCTCATTAAATAAAATCATTGATTCTAAGTGTCGGTTGTCCATTCTCGATGAAATTATTCTATTATTTTTATTATAACTCACCCATTTCGTTCCTGAGGATATTTCGGACAGCTTTACCCAAGTCTTACTCAGATGAAAACTTAAACACAATGTGGGTAGTGATGATCAAGTGACGGAGTTAAAATCATAGCAGTGTGGCGAGGAGTTGAAGCCTTAATGTTTTGTTTGAAATAAAAGTTCGTTTCATGTAATTGCGTTTACTTTTGAGTTTTTCGTCTTTAAACAATGTTCATAATCCAGGTTAAGTTGTGAGGGTTTATTTTCAGCTTGTCAATGTAGGATATTTTTGCATATAACTTTGATTACTGTCCTTTTTATGTTGCTGCCAAGGTGGCGGTTCAGGTCTTAGTTAAGAAATTCCTTTTGCTAGTAAGTTGAGTAAGTGATAATTCTCTATTCGTTTTGTGTTGTTTCAGAAAGGTAGTTTTGAATTTCTGTATTAATAATAAAATCCTTTTCATCGACGATTCAGTAGAACTTTAACAATGTTAATGCTTCCCAAATGATGTCGAGCAAATAAAATTAAAAATGGCGTTAATGAATTTTAGGAAAAAATAACAAAAAAAATATACCCTATACCAGTGATTCTCAACCGCCATCCTGCGGAACATTAGTGAGCCGCGTGATCCCCTTAAGTGTGCCGCGAAATGTTATCACGTCATACATATATATGGTGTGTGGAAGTAGTAATGGTACAGTATTAGTATTTGAATAAATGAATAAGTATTAAGCATTTTTTGCCTCATTAGCTAAAAAGTCTTTATCAGTTTTATTGCCATTTTCTATTATTTATGTGGTTTCTCAATTCTAGATATATCAAAAATAAGAAGCAAGAAAGACTACGCTCAACGGAATAAGAAATGAGGGTCTGATTATCGCACATTCAAACAAATATTGAAGAAATCGCGAAAAAAAAAACAGGCACAAGTTTCACACTAAATAAGCTGGACAAATATTTGAATAGAAACAATGAAATAAAGTAGGTTCATATTTATGTGTGTATTTTTTAAAAATCTGTGGTTTTATTTCATAACATTTATATGTATATATTATATGTATATGTATACTCTTTAAGTGCTAAGTGCGCCGTGATGTTTTCATTTGCTCTTAGGTGTGCTGTTGCTGAAAAAGGTTGAGAAAACACTGCGCTACACTTTACGTACAAACTTAATATTAATAATAAAATCCTTTTCCTTGATGTTTTAGTAGAATCCTAATTGTCAATATATATAAAACCCACAAGCCAAAATTCTTGTCTATCAAAGTGAATTTTCTTACAAATATACAATAGCTGTTATAAAAGACATAATCATGCTAAAGTAATTTCTTTTTCACACACGTATAAAGAAATAAAAACAAAAACTTATTATTTACCTCAAGTCGGAATTAGTCTTAAAGGATGTTAGAAAAACAGCCATCTTGATATAAAGAACAATAAAAAAAGCATCATGTGATTATTCTATTGTCATCAGATGAAAAATGATTATAAACAGGAAAAAACACAAAGGATGTAATTTGCTGATACATATAGCTTAACGGTTGTAATAAGAATAACAATATTTATTATTGTTTACATAATGTTTAACATATGTAACCTCAACATTATCAATAATACGGTATCTCAAAACATATTCTCGTATAAAAACAATATTGTTTATGAATTCACACTTCCTTTGGGAAACTGTGTCTCCAAGACGAATAATGAATTAGTTATACAACCACTACACTCCCTCGTAGGTTAACTTGCCACGTTAAGAGTAATGTAATTAATATACATATCGATCAACATATTACAAATAATCACAATATGACTATTAAATATTAGTCGATAATACTATAGATCATTCACTGTAAAGAATGATTCAAAATACTCTAAGCTATCATTATACAAAAGAAACAACAAGCATTCAGAATAATATTGTTGTATTAAATTCTTCTTTTTTTTTTAATGTAATATTTTCAATCTCTGGTTCTATCAAACTTTTCTTGAACCATAACGGATTATTTTTTAAAAACGTCCTATATACGATGTTACTTGTATATGGTATGTGTACATTTAAATTATAAATATAGCGTTCCTAAGAATGCCAAACCGAAGCTTATTATTAAATAATCTATTTTTATGAGAATGAATAACATTAGCATCCCTGAAAATAACAGGAG